ACTCACATAAGAAGTAATAGAATTTGAGTCTTCCTGAGAGAGAGGAGTGAGTTTAAGAACATTCCAGCCTCATCACACTGGCTTGGAACACTCTTTCGTATGTCTTGGCAAGAAGGTTTCTGCAAAGAGATGACCGTAAGGCAAACACAGGGCAGGTGAAGGCCCACCACTAGCCCCATAGCAAATCAGCAGCCCCATGGACAGGGTTCATTCCCTGCGGTAAAGTAACAGCCACTGACTGGAGCAGAAGGGGTTCAGATCCCGAGCCCTACCAGTGTTCACAGGATCTCTTGGCCTTGTAGGCTTATTCGCAGCATGCATTATAGGGAAGACCCTTGCATAGGGAAAAGGAGGAGGAGTGACCTGGGAGGGAAGCCGTGGAGATCAGAATTATTCCATCCCACAGAACCGTCTCTGGATTGCAAGACCCAAGGACTGCAAATATAAATTCCACATCCATGCCTCCCTGGGAGAACACCTGAGAATGTGTGAAGGAATAGGGAGAGCAGAGGGGCCCCCAGAAGAAGGCACAGCAGGAGCAAAGCAGGGGCGTGAGAAGGTGGGAGACACGTTCCCGGGACAGTGAACAAGGTATCTCTGGATAACAGCCAGGGAGGCCAGAAAGCTTGGGTGTGTGGATTTTATGGAAAGCCAAGGAAAAGTTTTAAAACAGGAGTGGCATTTTAGAAATATCCATTGGGAACATCTACACGGAAAAAATGGAATCTGGAGACAAATACAGAAATACTAAGTTGTAGAAGCCTAGATAAAGGGAAGTTAGGCTTGATAGGCAAATGAGATGGGAAATGACAGACTTGAGCCGGAGAGTCTAGAATCTTCGTCACTGTGGGACTCCAGGCCATGGTGGGTAAGGGTCGGGCTCTAAGACCCTAGGGTCAGGCTACCCAGCCTGCTCCATACACTGAGACCAGCACCCACACACTGCAGTTTTGCCTTCATGGGGTCCCAGCAGACCACATGGCCGGCCTGTCTTCTGCCTGAGAAGCAGAAGAGCAGCAAAGGCTGCACACAGAAAGCTTGAGCTCCACTGAGGAGATAAGGGAGACCGGAAGGAGAATGTCAGAGAGGATACTGGAGATTCTGGCTAGAGGGGCAGGGGCACAAGGGCATCTAGGGACTTCAGAAGAGCTCAACAAACTTACTATGGCTCCTTGGGATGCACAAACGTAGGGTGAACCACCCTTAGGGAAGGTTTTTTGTCCATCTTGTTTTCCTACTGTGACTTTTCCCCAAAATTTTTTTTTACTGAAATGAGACCTTACAAATAAGCATGTGGACAGGGAACTTCCTGAGCACGCTAAAGTGGTCTGTCAGGAACTTTCTGCCCACAAAAGGGTCATCAATCAGTAAAGGAAGCAAACCTGAGGATTTTGTGCTAGGGAGAACAGTAATCAACCCCAACCTCCAAGACATCCATACCCTAATCCCCAAAAACCTATGAGTAATTGTAAGGCAAGGGGACTTGTAAATGTGATTAAGTTAAAGGCCTCAAGACAGGAGGTAATACAGGTGACCCAGGGGGTCTGGTGTAACTATGAGGGTCTTTAAAACTGGAAGAGGAAAACTGTAGGTTGGAGTCACACAAGAGGGACTCGATCCACCATTCACTCGTCGCTGGCTTTGAAAGTGGTGAAAGAAGCCGTGAGCCCGGAGAAACTGGCAGAAAGAAGGAAAAATTACCTCTGGGCACTTCCAGAAAGTAATGTGGCCCTGACAACACCTTCCTTTTGAAAAGCCCAGGGAGACCCACATCGGACTGAGATACCAGATCAAACTGTGAGATACCAGATGTGTGTTGTCTTAAGTTACCAAGTTAATAAAATGTGTGTTGTCTTAAGTTACAAAGGCTTGTTATGGCAGTGAAAGGAACTGAAAGCAAAATGTAAGCCTGGGTCCCTCTTGCCATACATATCTCAGCTGACTTCAACTCCAAGAGGGACCTCTCGCAGCCACCCCACCTACGGTCACCCACCCTCTTGTCACCTCTAGTCATGGGCTCTTTACTATCCATTATGTTCATTATCTAAAATGTGGATTTTGACCTGATTGCCAGCCTTCCCCTCTGGACAGTGAGCTCTACAGGACCTGGCATCTTGGCTATTTGCCCATCGCTATATCTTAGCACCTAGAGAAGCGCTGAATCATAGTGCAAGCTCCACAAACACCAGGTGGAATGACCATGGCACTGTGTTAATGTCACAGAGGCACCAGTGATTTGAAACCTCCTGAAGGCAACTGCTCCATGGCTGTTTACTTTAGCCTGTGCAGGATCAGCAAAACATAGACATTTAGTCAATTCAAATCACACCTCTTCCAGGGGTCTTATTAAGCCTTCAGAGGGCTCAGCCTCATGCTGCTATAACCCTCTTCGGAGTATTTATGCAGAGTAAAATGTAAATTCCCTCTGCCCATGAGAACCAGAGGGGATATATGAAGAGAGAGTCTGTGAACACCTAGTGTTCCATCTAGGTCAAACACTCTAGGAAGAGAGACCATGCTTGTTTTCAAAGAGGTCTTGCTTCCCAGGTACTTTGCAGCATTTTCTGAACTCTACACATAGATTGTTCCTCTCAGCAATGATTTGCCTATCCAGTCCAGGATGGCAAGGAAAACCCGGAAGAGATTAACTAAGGTAAAGCCACTGCCTAACACTGGAGTATGGGCTGCAGGAAAAGGGGTGAGGTAGCAGGACATCCAGGAGCAGGAAGTCGAGAACAGGATGCACCAAGACCTAATCTGACTGCTGTGCTTGAGAATTCAATCCAGACACACTTGAGGCACCCAGCTTGGCAGCAGAGTAATACATACAACATGATGTTTATTGGGTCCACTTTGGATGGATGAAGGGGTTTGGTTTGTGAGTTGACTCAGCCGTGATTGCTTCCTGTCATTAAACCTCAGCCATGGGAAAATCATGGCATAAATAATAGAAATGAATATTCACTGCACAAAGGAAAGAAAAGTGGTTAAAATGCTTACAAGTATCACTCTTGGAATAGGTCTGATGGCTAAAATGCCCTAAACACCCACAAAATGTTCTGTGTACAGCCTGACATACTTACTATATTGTTATCAGGTGTATACAGAGGTAAAGCGGTAAACTGGCTGACAGCAGCAATTAAGTACACTACCTGTACTGACACTCCGATTCTCAGCCTGAGAGGTTATGTATTTAACTGATGGCTGCTTTCCTCATCGAAGTCAAGATACAGAAAAGGTATTTCTAAAGTAGATATCAATCTTACAAACTAAATAAACCCAAGCGTGATTAATTACTTTGCCCTCAATAAATAGCAGTCCCAAGTGTGTGCTAAATGTACTAACAAGAACAGAAGACAGGAGTTAGCATGTCATTCTTTATACAACACATGCATAGACGTGTGTGTGTGTGTGTGTGTGTGTGTGTGTGTGTGTATGTGAAATTCTCAGATCTCCTTTGGACACTTCTCTTCCACCATTCTCTTAGAACGATGAAATTAAAACAAAAAATTTTAAACAAAATTTCCAAGTGAGAAGCCATCAAAACCACAATTCTAATCTTAACTATGATAGCGTTAAGATGTTCACTCATGCCGGGCATGGTGGCACATGCCTGTAATTCCAGTACTCGGGAGGCTAAGGCAGGAGGATCACTGTGAGTTCGAGACCAGCCTGGGCTACACAGTGAGTTCCAGGTCAGTCTCAATTACATAGTGAGACCCTCAAAAAAAAAAAATGTTCACTCAAAAGAGAAACACTGTGAAGGTTTCAGTAAGCTTGGAAGGTCTTATCTCCTGGTGGTGGCTTAAATGGACCCTCATCCTCTCCCAGGCCTCTATTGCCATACTGGGAGCCACTGTGGAGAGTATTGTGAGATTTCATGCATAAAACTTCCGTAAACTGGACCCTGAAAAGCAACCACGGGCCACCAGAAGAATCAAGGGGAACCTTCTTTTTCCTGAACTGCTACCAGGAGGGCCAAAGGACAGAGACAGAGGAGGACAGGGTCTCAAGGTGAATCAAAAGCCTACACATTTGGAGAGAGTGATACGAAGGACACAGCACAGTTCAGTCTGTTGCCTCAAATAGCACTTGAGACCTGACATGTTAGAAATCCCAGACATTTCTGGGTTCAGTGCTGCAATCACAGAGAATCAACACCCCTGAAAGAGATCTTGCCCACACCTCCACTGCCTCCCTGACTGCAGGCAGACACATTCCATCTGCTCACAAGGCAGACGGTCTCCCCACCCATTGCTCCTTTTCCTGGAGACCATGACCACCACAAACAAGGACCATTTGGGACTCAAGTCTGACTGCTTCTGGAGCTCTGTGGCCCATAAACCCTGACCACTATAGTTCACTTTATTTTGAGCCACCCTGCTCTCCTTTCCCAGGGGTCTGTGTGCTTTTTCAGTCTGGAGTTTTAGTTTGAAGACACAGCCCACTGAAAACGAACAGTGTAATTTCCTATGTGCAAATATTTGCAAACAATTTTTCAAAACAGTACATGTTTTAAAAATTCAAGTCAAATCCAGGTACAGACTAACTGGTTGCTATCACCCAGCCCCTCACACCCACAATATGAAAGCAGTCTGTTTAAGGCACCAGTGACTCCAAAGGAGGTTAGTTTCTTGAGCTTGGGAGTCAGCCCGAGGGAAACGCTGAGGCTTAATGACAGAAGGGACCACTCCAGTCTCTAGCTGTTCTGGGCCAGAAGCCAAAGGCTTTCATGTAGGCAGCATGTTGTGTGGCTGTAGCTAAGGATGGACCTACACTCACCATGGAGCAGTGCCACCCCAGTAATTTGGAAACTCAAGTAAGGAGGGTGTGCTCCCAGGGCCTTGCATGGCAGAGAATACAACTGACTTTCGCTCTACTCAAAACTTCTCCAGTACTGTGTACTCCTAAGCCTCTGTGTAAAAGGAGCCTGAAGAGGGAGCTGCAGAGGCCAGCACATCCTTGATGGCTTCATGTGTGATCCAGACAAACACAAAAAAAAAAAATGTTCACTCAAAAGAGAAACACTGTGAAGGTTTCAGTAAGCTTGGAAGGTCTTATCTCCTGGTGGTGGCTTAAATGGACCCTCATCCTCTCCCAGGCCTCTATTGCCATACTGGGAGCCACTGTGGAGAGTATTGTGAGATTTCATGCATAAAACTTCCGTAAACTGGACCCTGAAAAGCAACCACGGGCCACCAGAAGAATCAAGGGGAACCTTCTTTTTCCTGAACTGCTACCAGGAGGGCCAAAGGACAGAGACAGAGGAGGACAGGGTCTCAAGGTGAATCAAAAGCCTACACATTTGGAGAGAGTGATACGAAGGACACAGCACAGTTCAGTCTGTTGCCTCAAATAGCACTTGAGACCTGACATGTTAGAAATCCCAGACATTTCTGGGTTCAGTGCTGCAATCACAGAGAATCAACACCCCTGAAAGAGATCTTGCCCACACCTCCACTGCCTCCCTGACTGCAGGCAGACACATTCCATCTGCTCACAAGGCAGACGGTCTCCCCACCCATTGCTCCTTTTCCTGGAGACCATGACCACCACAAACAAGGACCATTTGGGACTCAAGTCTGACTGCTTCTGGAGCTCTGTGGCCCATAAACCCTGACCACTATAGTTCACTTTATTTTGAGCCACCCTGCTCTCCTTTCCCAGGGGTCTGTGTGCTTTTTCAGTCTGGAGTTTTAGTTTGAAGACACAGCCCACTGAAAACGAACAGTGTAATTTCCTATGTGCAAATATTTGCAAACAATTTTTCAAAACAGTACATGTTTTAAAAATTCAAGTCAAATCCAGGTACAGACTAACTGGTTGCTATCACCCAGCCCCTCACACCCACAATATGAAAGCAGTCTGTTTAAGGCACCAGTGACTCCAAAGGAGGTTAGTTTCTTGAGCTTGGGAGTCAGCCCGAGGGAAACGCTGAGGCTTAATGACAGAAGGGACCACTCCAGTCTCTAGCTGTTCTGGGCCAGAAGCCAAAGGCTTTCATGTAGGCAGCATGTTGTGTGGCTGTAGCTAAGGATGGACCTACACTCACCATGGAGCAGTGCCACCCCAGTAATTTGGAAACTCAAGTAAGGAGGGTGTGCTCCCAGGGCCTTGCATGGCAGAGAATACAACTGACTTTCGCTCTACTCAAAACTTCTCCAGTACTGTGTACTCCTAAGCCTCTGTGTAAAAGGAGCCTGAAGAGGGAGCTGCAGAGGCCAGCACATCCTTGATGGCTTCATGTGTGATCCAGACAAACCCCTGACACCTTAATGCCAGGAGCACAGGCATGGATCCCTTGGAGCATTGGTGTCAGTCCAGTATCAGAGGAAGAAAGGCCCAGAGATGAAGATCCAAGTCATGTGGACAAGGCTGGAGATCAGAAAGGGCACTGCAGGCAGTTGGGTCTGTGTCACTGTGAAGAGCTGGTCCAAATGAAGATGTTTATAAGGGTTTCCCTACACAGCACTGAGGCCAGGCTTGCACCCCAAAAGAAATGAGGCAGCACTGCCTTCAGGAGGGGTGGTCTATGGGGTCAGCTGTCCTCATCGTCCTTGCAAAGCAGGAGCTCGGAAGTCCTGCAGCAGCAGCTCAGCTGAGGGAAGCACAGTTCAGCTCTGCATCCTCCTGGCTGTCCCCTGCCACCTCCTCCAGTTCATCGGGGCTGTCAGTGATGTTGGGCTCGCTGGAGCACTGCCGGTGGGGTGGTGAGAAGCGGGGCGGCAAGAGCAAGCACTTGTCCTCACTGCCAGCCTCCTCCCCTAAGCCTGCGTGCATCATGGTGGCCATGGCCAACAACTGGATGTCCGAGTGGGCATTGGCCACGGTGTGCCGCCGGACACTGCCACACTTCTCCAGGTAGGCCTCCCCCTCCTGCTCTGTCAGTGGGGTCAGAGCCATCTCGTTCACGGGCCGGCTAACTGTCGTCAGCGGAGAGGCGTAGTTCAGGAGTGGCATCTTGGGCCGGACTCTGGAGTGCCTCCGGGCTGTAAAAGAGAAAGCAGGAAAGGCTATAATAGGGGAGGGAATAGTGGGGACCAAAACCCCTCATTAGTTTGGGGAGAAGTGAGGTGGTGGCTCAACAGCTAGGGACAACATTGGGTGCAGCCTTGCTGACCTGTGAGGGGAGAGCACGGCCACGCCTCCCTTGCAGCTTGACCTGTTTATGCCATATATAGCCCCCAATCAACCAGGCAGTCACCAAAAGACTTTCCTGAAGGATTAGGGCAGGGGATCTCTTTCCTAGCTGCTGCCTGAGCTTCTCTGGATTTACCCTAAATCCCCTTTCAGCCAACCTCTTCTGAAGACCTGGAAACTGTCTGGGTCAGCTCCAAAGAAGCCTCTGGCTCTATTCAGGATGTGTTCTCTGTAGTGCCAACAAACCACGAAAGGGTCCCCAGAAGCTTAAATGCAGGGGGAGAGGTGACTGGGGAAAGGCTCAGCTACCAAAGCCAAGGCATCCTTCAGCTCACAGGGAACCAGGACTGATGCTCTTTACCTTCCACCAGGTTGATGAGCTGAGCAGTGTGCACACTGCTCCCCTGGATGCAAAGACATTCAGCACGATCAGAAAGCAGGCAAGTCTCCATGGATAGCACCAGAGAGGAGGGCTAGACATGAGTTATTATAATTGCTGGGGTTTTATTTTTCTTTTCACTCCAGAGCCTTCACCCTGAGCTGCATCCCCAGTCCCTTATTTTTTATTTAGAGACAGTGTCTTACTAAGACCCTAAATTGCCCAGGTTGGACTTGAACTTACCATCTTGGTCTCCCAGAGTGCTAGAATGACAAGTATGCAGTACCATGAAAACTGTTTTTAGTCCTCACCATGTTCCAAAACTGTGCTAATCCCATCTTTTAAATCCCTCTGGAAGCAGAACCCAAGTCATGATGTATTATTAGCTCCCACTTTACAGGTGAGAAAGTGAAATACCAGAGCAGTAAGGACTGACCCAAGGTCACATAACTGGAACATAGTCAACATGTCTCACTGCACATGCAAAGTGAGTGCAGCAATAACTATGACAGACAAAGTACCTCAAGGGAAGGATGGGCCTGTGTATGGAGTTCAAAGGTGGGAAAAACATCTGGGGACAATCAGGAAACTTGCCAAGGAGGATGTACCTCATGTACCTTGGAGTTGGGCCTTTGGGGTGGACACAGGGTAACAGCATTCAGAACAGTGGGGACAGCCTGAGCTAGGTGCTGATACAGGTGCACCCTCGGGCTACAACCTGGCTGGAACAGAGTCTGTGGACTGACGGAGAAGAGTCAAAGCAGGCAGGATATGTGTGTGCTAGGCAGGCCTCGGAGTGACACATCAGACAGGCAGGGGCGGAGATGACCCTAGAGGTGTGCAGTGGGATGGGGTAGGTGTCAGGAAGAATGCCCCAGCAGGAGCATGCAGGACAGGTTGGAGCCAGAGCGATTAGGAGTGAAGAAAGTCAGGGAATGGCTTACCATCCTTTCTAAAATAAATACAAATCACATGTGGAAGAAAGTTAATGCCCACTGTAGTCAAGACACAGGCTGAGCAGGGCAGGAACTAGAGCTGCGGTGATGAGAGTGAGGAGGACATGGGACCAGGGAGGGGCTGGAGTCCACACAAAGTCTGACACTGTCCGGCCCAACAGGTGGGAGGCCAGGGTCTGGGGTGAGGGCGACGCCAGGACAAGAGAGCATGGGACAGGGCACAGGCAGATTTGGGGAAGAGGCTCAGATGCAGAGGAGGCAGGAGCAGCAGTTCGTGGGCCCCAGAGCTGGGCCCTGGCCACTCAGAGCCTCAGACGCTGACGCCCCCCTATGGGATATGCAGTTGTGAAGCTGGGAAGTTTTCCATCTAAAGACAGAAATCTGGACATTTCCGGAGAGTATGTAGGATGTCAGAAAATGTTCAAAGTAGAGTGATGACAAAAGCACAAAATGAACAAGATTCTTCTGGGCTTTTCTCTTTTAAATGAAACTGAGGTTCTGCTGCTGTACTCACATATACACATATACAAGCCAGGAAGACGATACAGGAAAATTGTCAGTGTTAGTTGCCATACAGTAAAAGGGTTATCTACCAGTGACTTTTGAAATTTCTCCCTTATCCTCTTTTGGATATTTTCCAAAGTTGACTTCATGTGCATGCTTTCCTCTTATAATGACAAAATTTGGGAAAACTAGAGTCAGCTGGCCCTTGGTAGTGGCCTACCAAGGGTCCCTCAACGTGAACGTGATCTGTCTGAAAACAGAGATGGGCTTGAGGACTAAATCATCCTGGTACACGCCTGTGTGGGGGTGGATAAAATGAGAGGAACCACCAATGACAGTAAAAGTACGGCAGCTGACACACGGGATAGCACTCAGAAGGGTCCTGAGCACCTCGTTCGTATCCATTAAACTCCCCCAGTGGTTACGACAGTTTTTTAGATGAGGAAACGGGGGCACCAAAAGGTTAGGTAACTTGTGCAGTGCCATGAAGGAAAGACAGAGCTGGGACTGGAACACAGGAATCGCCCTTTCACCCAGGAAGGTCCCTGCCTCTGGGGCAGGATGGTGGTGTGAGAGCCTGGAAAACCAGGGCAGTCAGGCAACCGAAGACTCCCAGAGGCAGAAGTGGGCGTGCCAGCAGCACCCCAGCTCCCGGGAGCCCTCCTCTCCACACCTGCACAGGTCCAGGCCAGATGACGGTGGCATGCCAGCCTCCTCCAGACCCAGAGAAGTCCTCCCTGCCATGCTCCTTCCGAGGCGTCCCCTCCTCGCCCCCGCACAGCGTCAGCATCGCAAGCTGGAGCACAGACCTGAGCAAGGCAGAGGAGGTGTGAGGTAGGTATCCTGCTGGCTCCAAGGCTGTGGCCTGAGAGAGCAAAGGTGTGGAGATGCCGGAAATTCAGCTGTGCAGTGCAAGGACCCTTTCAGCCTTCATTTCGCCCACAGCACACCGCTCTGTTCAACTGTCTGTTTTCCATAGTACCCCTCCCTGACACCTTAATACCCCAAACAAACACCCTGTCTCCCCGCAGGGAGGACATGCAGTGGGAGCAGTGGAGACAGAGGCCCGGATGTCAGCATTCCCACGGCACTCTGACAGAATGCGGGGCACTCGCTGAAGGAAGGAACAGTGCTGCTCACAGACCCTTGGCCCATGCTGCTTTGATTTGCTCTCTGCTCTTCCTGTGGGTCTGGAGGCCCTGGACATGAATGCCCACCTCTCCCAGAACTCATGCTCCTGCAAACATGCCCGTGTCTACCTGCAAAGGGTGCAGGTAGCACCAGCTACCATCACTGTGTGTGTGTGTGTGTGTGTGTGTGTGTGTAATGACTCGAGTCTACTGGCTCAGAAGCCCAAGGGAACTGTTTTTAGTCATAATCATTTTTCAAAAGCAAACAACAATCCCTAGAATTCAGACAGTATGTTCCCTCCCATCTGCAGTCTCACTCTTCAGTCCTAGTGTCTCTCTGCAACAGGTGGACATGGTCTCATTATTCCCACTGCACAGGTGAAGACCAGGGCCAGCCCCGGTCCCAGTTCTCTTAGATCCTAAGTGGCAGGGCCCACTCTCCCACTGCACAGTGCCATGTCTCAGGGTGCCGCTGCCATCCCCCCAAAGACATGCTCTTTGAGCCAGCCCGCCTCCGAAGCCAAGTCACAGCAAACAGTGTCCGCAGCAGGTGTTGTGCAAGAGGGTAGTATTGTCCCAGAGGACTGGGTCATTGGTCCCCCTCTTTGAGGATAGGAGACAAAATGCAAAGGAGCAACCAAGAAGAATCTGTGCAGGAGCACTTGTCCCTTCCAAGCCACACTTTTCTATAATGCTCCTACATTCTGAAAACAATTGTGCATTACTTTTATGGTCACAAAAATCAATACCTATAAGACATAAGTGCAAGAACAGTTCAAAGCAGCGGGGACCTCATTAAAGAACCACTCTCTTTAAGAACGCCCTTGAGAACAGCTCGCTCCTCTCACGCCACTGTTAGAAGCATGCACTTTGGATGGGCCATGGGGAAACCCACGCCGGTTTCCAGTCAAGAAGCCCAGCAGCAGCCTGGCTTAGATCTGTTCAGAGAGCATGGGCTACAGACAGGTCCTGTGCTCTCAAGACCTGGTACCCATCGCCAGGAGGGGTTTGTGCAGATGGCACAGCCCAGGAGGCAGGGGTGGAAGGAGACTCAGACAGTGTTATAGGAGGACCGGGACCACTCTCTTCACTCTCTGTGGGGAAGGGGTGTCTGAAAAGTGGCAGCGTGATGTGGGATTGTACACCGTAGCTAAAACTTGGGACAGGCAGACACGGCCAGGATAAGCAGTTCAACTAGAGGAAAGAATGAGCGCAGAGGCTGGGCCCATGGAGGACATGGGCTAAGCAGAGGGACTCTGTGCGTGGATGACAAGCAGCATCGCTGGAGGAAATGGGGATAGGAAGAATGATTCCTGTGGCCCCTGTCTGACGGCAGGAGATAAGGCGGGCTGTCTCCAAAGGGGTCCCAGGCACCATCCACCTGTCACTTCAGTCAGGAGTCCAAAGTCCTCGGAGTGTTCACCAGGCAGCAAAATGACAAGAGAGGCCACTTTGGCTGCTGTGCAACAGGACTGAGAGGTAAAGCCAGAGGAAGGGTGGCCAGCCCTGGAAGAGCAGCCCCAGTGACGTCTGCCCTGTCCTTCCACACCAGTGTCTTTTTTCTGGTTTTTTTCCACATTGGGGATTGAACCCAAGGCCCTCACCCCAAGCTACATCCTCATTCCTTTATTTTTATTTTGAGACAGTCTTACTAAGGCACTAAGTCACCCAGGCTGGGGTTGAACTTGTGATCCTCCTGCCTCAGTCTCCCAGAGTGCTGGGATTACAGGTGTGCACCACTGTACCTGGCAACAAACACTTCTTAAGCTGCAACATATAAAATGCAGTAGCAGCTGCTGAGAGGAAGAAGTGTCAGCTGGATGTGGTGAGAGGCTGAGCCCAGCCTGGGCACACATAGGGGTGTTTCACCAGCACAATCCCCTTCTGGGGATTTTTTACAAGCAGAAGCTGAAGTCAAGACCGTAACTGACCCTAGAGTCAGGCATGATGAGTGATGAAACCAGGGGTGGAGCCCAGGGTCCTCAGCAGAGCTCCTGCTCAGACCCCTCACACTTCCAGGAGGCCAAGGTCGGGCGTGGTGCAGGCAGTGCCTTGGGAATCCAGAAAAGGAAGAGGAGAAGGCACGAAGAAGGGCTGCTGTACACAGATTGCTTCAGAAATAACCCACACACGAGCCGACAGCAGCGTGTTCCCTGCCCTCAACTGGCTCACAGTCTGGGGAGACAGTGACTGATAATCAGGCCATGGCACGATGAGGACCAGGACATGGCCCAGGGCCCTGGGCAGGGAGAGTGGAAGGCACACACAACCTCCCTCCTGGGTGACTTCCCCGGAGCAAAGCTGCGGCTGGCTGGGCCCTAAACACAGCCCATGGCATCACTGCCCAGCCCAGCCCTGTGTCAGCACAGCTTCCTCATCCCGCCGTCTCCTGACAGCACAGGGTCTCTGTTCGGCCCTCTGCGGCTCAGAGAGGTTAAGAGCTTTCTCCAAGCCACACATTGGAGCCTCAGCCCCTGTGCTTTCCAAGCCCCTGCTCTTTCCGAGGTTGCCTCTCCTCTCCCCTGCGGTGACTCACACGGCGGCGAAGCCTACAGCTCTTCCTTCTGCTTTCCCCTGAATGTTTTGGTTTCCAAGACTGGGTGTGGGTAGAGCCGAGACCACAGGGGCTGCGTGGCTGTGTCAAGTCCCCTGGCAGACAGTGCTTCCTCATTAGCTCTTGCCAGACCTCAGAGCCAACCCTGGGACAAGTGCGTCAGCTGCACCCCATAGGGTCCACCCCTGCTGGGCCCCGAGGGAGGCCAGGCTGGCGGGAGCTATCCGCACTGACCTCCTGCCTTGCCCACCTGTGTTTTTTCTCTGCCCCGGGGGAGGCAGGGCCCCATCCCCCATGGAAGGGAATCTCCCAGCAAGAGACTGCATTCAGCTAGGACCTTGTGGAGTCACTAAGTGGCCAGGCTGCATCAGCAGGGACAGAGGGCTGAGTCCTGAGCCTCCTTCTAGCAGCGCTCAGGGGCGGGGCCGGTGGGAGCCTTTATTCCTGGCTCCCTCAGCAGGCCTCTTGCTGCGCTGGCATTCATCCCCCTTCTAGGAGCCAACAATGGCAGCTCCTTTCAAACCCCAAAGGGAAGCAAAGCCTGGATCCCCCCTTCTTTGGGTCCTTTGTTGGGGTGCCTGCTCCCAAGCCTTTGATCTCCCAGCGCCATTGTGACCCCTGCACACCAAGCCCATCAACAGCTCCCCCTCCCTCCGGCCGCACCTGTCACACGGAAAAGTCTCAGTGTCCTGCTGCAGAGCCCTGGGGAGAGGGCCCCCCAGATACAATGGAGGGAGGGAGCGAGGGGTGTGAGGTGCCAAGGCTGTTGTGTGGGACACATTCAGCAGGATTTCTGCTCTAGAGAGGGAAGCTGTGGACCGGGGCAGCCACTGTCACACTTGAGGTCCTGGAAACTGGGGACGGGCCTGGGCTCTAACAGAGCTTCTCTTTTTCCTCCACACCCCTCTGCTCCCACTGCTGAGGAAAGAGTGGCTTCAGAGGGCAAGAGAGGGGAGGAGCCACTCATCCGTACCCCATTCTCCACCAGGGCGGGACCCCACCTCTGCTCTCTCTGAAGCAAGCCGCACTATCTAGGGCAGGCTGCCCCAGAGAGGGGTTCCCCCCTCGGCCCACAGTGCTGGACCCAGAGGCTGAGGCATCAGCAGCCCGCTCAGCAGGCTGGGTGAGGGAGCTTGTGCAGGCTAAGGCGGTAGAGGAGTGGCCTCTGAGAAGATAGACCTCAGCTGCCCTTTACCCAGCTGGACTCTGCTCAGCTCCACAGGCTAAGGCATTTCCTGCACGCCCTAGTTTTTATTGCAGTCGGGGTCCTAGCAGCTCTGTGCCCGGCTGGGATGAGTGTTAATATCCCCATCGTGCCCAGGGGCAGACTGAGCCTAGAGAGGCCCCCGACCCACTCCTGAAAGGGGTACACGCAGTCAGGGAGGCCGCTTCGGTACTTCTGGTTTCCAGAGGTTTGGGCTGAACTGTCTGGCTGAGGGTTCCTCTGGGACCAAGGGACCTGCCCCTGAGAAGTCACATTCGAATGCCAGTTGATGGGAGGGTGACGGGACTGATGGATCCTAAACAGCTCAGAACTAGGGAATCCCAACTCTAACACCCAAGGGGCTGCCTCAGGGTCTTTTCTGGGAGGGTGTTCAGCCCGCCCCACCCAGTGTCCAGGATTCTATCTGTGCCCATGGCTTCCCTTCCCCCAACCACTCTGCAACTCGAAAGCTCTCTCAGTTCCTCAAATGCTCCACCATCTTGTTCACCCATGGTCTGCTAAGTCCTCCCAAAGGTCCTTCCCTTTGCCTGGACGTTCTCCCCTCCGTTTACTCAGCTATCTCCTATTACTGCTCAGGGGCCCATCACAGACGTCACTTCCTGCAGTGGGCCTGTTCTGGTTTCCTGGTCCAGGTGAAGTCTTGTGGTCTCCCGGCCCCTGTCCTTGCACTCAGACTGTACACTGATGAGTCACCATCTTGTTTGCAGTTCCTCACCAACCCTGTTCCCTGGAAGGCAGGGATGCCGCCGGGTTCATCCACCAGCATATCTGTAGCACCTCCCCAGGGCCTGGGGTAGGGTCTCGACATGCATTGGCCAACAGAGTAATAAATTTAACACTGAGCAAGAGAAGGTAATGTCCTTCCCTCTATATCCCTCCTGAGACCACCCTCCAAAGGCCTTGGTGCAAGAAGAAAGGCTCAGGCCTTTGCTGTATAATTTGGCAAAAATGTATAATTATTTTGGTTGGAAAGCCAGCGGTATCTCCTCTCACAGGGAGTCCTCTGGAACAAACTTGCAAATCTACTCTTGTTCCTTTCCTTGTGTGTATCTGGAGATATGAAGGACTGTTCAGCTGACAGCAATTAAGAAGCAGGAACAGGGGTGCTCCCACCCCTGACATCTGGTTAAAAGCAGAACATAGATTCACAGAGACAAGAGGTATTCTGACCATCTTCTTTCCGGAGAACAAAGGTTAACAACTGTGGACATCTTTACTCCTTGTTATCTGGAAACAGTTCTAGGATCTACACTAACAAACTTTATTCTACTTTACCTGCAAGTTATTTGCCTTCCCATAAGTTGCTGCCTCTGGAGGCTCAAAGTCAATTTCCTTTGTCTTATCACTTCTCTAAAAATGTACTGATCTTTGTTGAAAATGCTTTACAATATGAAATTCAAAGCTACGTATTTAAGAACTCTTTGTTCCCTTGATGTCTCCCAGGCCTATGTGAATACACATGTTCATAAGCTCCTGTTTGTCTTTCTCCTGTTAATCTGCTGCAGGGCCTGCTCCAACTAAGAACTTACAAGGACTGAAGAAAAATTACTTTTCCTCTCCTACACTGGACTCCCAATGGTGGAGTCCCTGCCATGGCCCAGCTAACCTGCAGGCATACTGACATCTCCCTGGGTCCCCACTGTCCTCCAAATTCATTAAGCTGAGCCAGCAGAGCGAAGGAGGATTCCAGGGAGACTGCAGCAACATGGCACCCACCTCAGGCCAGAGAAGGCAGGATGAGCTTCTAGCTCCTGGGTGGAGCCAGTGAGTGAAGGAGTAAGGGTGGGCAGAGAACTTGGCAGGCAGCAGGCTGGGACCAGCACCCTCCAATCTGTGGTGGATGTGGTTCAGCTGGTGTCTCCAGAGAAACACGACCAGGGCCAGGAGCACTGCCAACAAGAGGCCCTGCTTTTGTGTGCAGTCGAGAGGCCCAGGAAGGGCAGAAAACCTCTCTCCCTGGCTTTGAAGCTCAGCCACCACGAGTCCATTACAGTGAGAGGAGGGGTGCTGCGTTCCAACTTCAGGTGACCTACTTCCTGTTCTGCAGCTCCCTGTGAAGGCTGGCTGTCCTACCAGGGGATACAGCTGCCTGCCATCCACCTAATGAATAGTTTTCAAGTGCCTACTCTACACCAGGCACCATTCCGGTTGCTGAAGACAGAGCACTGGACAAGAAGTCCCTGAACATTTAGAGATTTACATTCCGATGGTCACTGAAGAATACCTTTATTATAAGCTTTACCACATAGCTGTTTCTACCAAGACTGTGATCTCACTGAAAGTAATTTTGTATTATGTTATACTACATGATCTAGCTGTTTCTACTCAGACCATCCACACTGTGGTCTCACTGGAGAAGGGGAAAACTCTGAGTCCTCTAGATTCTCCAAGGGACCTAGGACAGAGCCTGATGCTGATGTAGCTTCACAGTATCAAAAAACACCCCAACAGGATTTATGCCCCAAGTTCGGAACTCCTTCCTTATAATGAAGGCCTTGGAAGTACCAATGGAAGTAGAGGGGGTAGGGGCAGCATTTTGAGAACTCGTGCCTAGCCATGACACAAACTGCCTCACATCTCGAGCTGCTGTCAAAGGGAAAGCTATCAAGGGTGGTTCTCCACAGTAGGAGGCTAGGGGAGGGTGGAGTATACAGCACAGTATCTGGTATCAGAAAAATTAATGTTTCAGGCACAGGAAAAAGATCAAAACCACTGATCAAAGATGTGGATCACACAGACGTCACCACGGGCTGGTGATGGTGGTGCTTGTTAGTCCTCCGGGAGGAATCACCAAGCCAGCTGGCGGGGAGGCTGCTGCTACCCAGCAGGGGACAGAATGAGAGTGATCACCATGCACAGATTTTCAGCGACCCACATCGGAAGCCCAGCCCTCAGCACACAGTGGGTGCTCAGGTACCTTGATCACTGAGACTGCTGACAACTCCGAATGGCTCCCCTTACCCAGTGTGTGTGTGGAGCCTGAGAAGCCACGGTCCCCGCCGATGCCCAGGAAAGGAGAAACCACTTGCTTCACCAGCTCCTCCAGCTGCAAATAGCTCTCACTTGGGCCTGTGGGTTCATGAACACTCTGGAAGTGAACATCCAGACAGACAGAGGTCAGTGAAAACTGCTGTGGCTGGCAGGCACCTGTCAGTGGCCCCAACACCCTCTGGGGTTAGAATGCAGCAAACTGAGCCCCAAAGCCCTGTCACTTATCACACGCCACAGGGATTCGAGCTCTGCATGGTGACTACACGTCAGGCTCTACCAGGGCCGCGTGAGGGGACAGTCCCAGCCCCGCTCCAGGTGTGTGGGACCCAAGGCCAGTCCCACCTGCAGCACAGGCACTCCAGAGAAGCAATTTGCATGGATTCATGCACAGAGGCCTCTCGGACCCAGGAAGAAGGATGTTTTCCTTCTCTCTCTTCTGGGGATGGGAAATAAAGACACAGAACTAACATAACTTGTCCAGCAAAATGCAGCCAGTAAATGACAAAAGCCCTGGACGGGAACCTAAGATACCTGGCTCCCAGCCCATCTCCCTGCCACTTCTCAACAGGCTGGAGAAGAGGGAAAGAGTATGAAAGAGTTCAGAACAGTAGAAGAGGGAGAGGGTCTTAGAAACAGGCCCGCTGATAGTAATATGAGGAGCCAGTTAAGAAGCCCAGCTTGGGGCTGGGATGTAGCTCAGCAGCACAGTGCCTGCCTGTCAAGTGCAAGGTAGTAAGTTTGATCCCTGGTGAAAGAAGCCAATGATCATTGTTTTCTAGGAAACCGGCAGACTCCCTGGGAATTCAGTTTCCCTACTGGAGCTGCGAGAAAGCAGAGACCAATCAGCAAGGGACAGGGTCCCAACAGGAAAGAAACAAGGCTGTGTGGGGCTGCACTCAGCTCTTCATGTCAAATTCTCAAAACATTTGGCAGTGCTTTCACCCAAGTAAAGATGCTTCCCTTCACTGAGGCATTTCAGGGCTGGAGGAGGAAGGAGGTGCTCAAGCCATGAATCAGAAGAGGTGATCCTGCAGGTCAGGAGCCCTGGGTGAGCTGGAGCTGCCAGAGACATAGGCTCTGCCCTGGCCCTTCCCAGCTGCATCTCCTGGGATGGGTATGGGAGGTGGCAGGCGGGATCGAGTGGCTGAAGGGAACAGGGAGGCTGAGGAGGGACGGGACTGGGAAGGGGCAGGAGGAGAAGAGATGCAGAGAAGATGTGTGGGCCTGAGACCAGTGAAGAAGCCTCATGTCAGGCTGCCAGGCGCCTGATGGCAGCCATGGCACCGGGTAGGCCAGTTCTCCAGGCTGTCTCTGCTCCTATTCACTCACACTGAACAGAAGCATCAGAAGTTAGCAGAGGAAAACGGGACAGCAAATGAGCTGCTCCACTCAGGACACACACACATCGGCCCCTCAGGAAAGGGGTCCTCCAGGCACAAGGAAAAGGGGAGCCTGTTCACGCTCCCCAGGGACCACACCAGGCCTCGGAAGCAGGACAGTGTCAGCCACAAACTACCATGACTGGCTCCCAAAGCCCAGGGAGCAATTTTCTCTCTCTCTCTTTTTTTCTGTCCTTGATAATCTTTATCTGAATTCTCCACTAAGATTTCCCACACCATAATTCATAAGTGCACGGAGAGACGACAGAAAAACAAAAAGCAGCTCGGAGTGAGCGGAAAATGCATGAAGAACACGCTTTGCACAGACGCTGCTCTAGGACCGGGCCGCTGCCCTGCACATGGCCCTTGGCCTGGACACCAGGCAGGCTAGGCAATGTTCATGGCCCAGTGCAAAATGAAGACACGGGGCCCTGCATTCAAATAGAGGGGAGAAAGTTGATTTGTTGATGGGAAACAGTGAAGCGCTGCCTGGCTGGGCGGGGCCCTCAGGACTCTGGATCCACCAAAGCAGCCTGAGACAGAAGCACTCTGCCCGCCGCCCCCAGGCAGGAGAAGCCCATGGGATATTCTGGAAGGAAGGACGAGGCTCAGAAAGATTTTTGGAAGCGCAATGGAAAAGGGAGAGCCGAAGCCTGAGAAAGGGCTCTTTTCTCTTTCCCAGGTTTAGGCCATTTTGGGGAAAGCAGCCTTGGATTTCGTCACATGGTGGCAAGGAAAGGCCTGGGGAGAGGAGGGACGCAGCAGAAACAGCCCAGACCAGTGTCACCTGGGAGATCAGCCAGAGCCAGAGGCTACCCCAAGAACATAGACCCAGGCTGGGGGAGGACCCAGGCTGCATCTGTCGTTATCACAAGCCCAGAGCTCCACAGCTCCCAAGTAGGGAAAAGCACAGTCCGGGGAACTATTCCCAGGAAACCGGAGAGAAACGACATGGGCATCGCAGCTGAGACTGTGGGGATCTGCAAGGACCAAGGAGCCTGCAGGAAGGAGGCAGTAGTGCCAGAAAGACTGAATGCAAAGGAGAAAGAGCAAGGGCCTATCTGGGTATAGTGCACACCTGGAATCCCAGCACTCTGAGAGGCTGAGGCAGGAGGATCGCACTTTTGACCCCAGCCTGAACAAGTTAGGAAATTAACAAGACTGTCTCAAAATTAAAAATGAAAAAAGGACTGGGAACGTAGCTCAAGGTGAAGGCCTTGGGTTCAATTCCTAGTACCAGGAAAAAAGAAGAAGCAAGGGCCAAGAATAGCTGAGCAGTTTAGCTCCAGACAAATGCTTTATGATCCTGAGCTCATGAGTTAATTTCTGTGAAATTTCATCTCTGCTTGAAATGGGAAAAATAATAATATAGTCACTAGAAAGACTGGTTCCTTTCCCAACTTTCCAGAAATCTGCTATGACCATGGAGCTTCTCAGACTGCCCTTCTATCTGCCAAGAGAGGAAGCCCTGCATGGCCATCAACAATCATAAGACTGGAAGCCAAGGACCTAGGGTCAGTCCTACTTAGCCTCTTACTAGCTGGTGCCACCATTCAATGAACAGGGTTTAATGAACACCTACTGTATGCCAAAGATGGGGCTGGGTGCCAAGGATAAAGTGTGAGAACAAACAAACGGGCAAAGAAACTAAGGAATACTTAACTGAGATAAGGTGTCTGGATCTCCTTCTTCCCCTCCCTTCTCTGGGTCCCGGGCCTCACCTGCAGGATAAGCAGCATCTGGACAATGGACGAAGGCAGCTTGGCCTGTGACAGCAGCAGCAAGTCACCCAGCTTCACCTTTAGCAGGACCAAGTCTCGAAAGCCCAGCAGGGAGATCTGGCGGATGGTCAGCTCCTGTCCCTGGGGAGCAGAGAAGGTGAGAGGTGAGAGCTTGACGAACCTGATGGCATTCAGGACAACACACGTTTGCAGAGCACTGGGGATGAGCCAGGTACAGGCATCCGCGAGGCCCTGGGGGCTGTCAGAGTTGAAGACCCAGCTCCAATATTCCAAAATTAAAGCGTTGTTTGAGATAAGATGTGACTCAACCTATTTAAACAACTGAAAGACAATGCAAGACACACATAATAGGAAATACTCTGTCGAGTGGGATTAGGTAGGAGGGAGAGGGAGGAAGAAGAAGGAGAAACAAAGGAAAGATCGAGACCACTTCCCCACAAGGCTGCTTCTTGGACTTCAGGCGTTAAATATGTAAGGGCCTATCCTATGCTAGGCAAAGGAAACATCAGACCTCAGATGTTTACATAAAGTTAGAATAGAAACATAAGTAACTTAGGAAGAAAATACTTGGGAAAGTACAAGGAAAGGGACTGCTCAGCTATGGGAATGGGGTCAGAGAATGAAAATAAGTCCCAAGAGCTGGAATTTATTAAGCTCTATGTGCTAGGTAGGATTCTAAATTTTTAGATATAAATATTTAATCCTCATGATCACTGCTATGGTCTGAATATTTGAGTCAAATTCATATGCTGAAATCCTAAACCCCCAAAGGGGATAATATTTGGAGCTGGAGCCCATGATGCAAGGTGATTAGGTCGTAAGGGTGAAGCCCCTGAGAATGGGATTAGTGTGTAGAAAAATCACCTCTGGTCCTCACCAGGCACTGAACTTGCCTGTACCTTCATCTTGCACTTCACAGCCCCCAGAACCAAGAGAAATGAATCTCTGCTGCTCATAAGCCACTTCATGTGCAGGGTTCTGCTGCTGAACAGAGCAGCACGACCATCCTCCCAGAGAGGAGAGTGGCGCTGTCAGAAAATCCATCCCACGGACGAAAATGTATAGAGGTACGGGAATTCACCCAACATGGAACCGGATTTCAAACCAAAACTGTATGGTTTTAGAGCTCTTGAAGGGCTCCAAGACAGAAAGAAGACAGATCATTTCCCAAGCTGTCCTTCACGTATGTGTGTATGTGTAGCGAGAGAGCACACGTGCATGCACACACCTACACACAGAGAACACACCAAAAACTTGTCACTCCTAGTAGAGCCAAAGTCATCCTTGCAGTGTGCAATGATGTAGACGAAGGTGGCTAGGATGTCCCTGGTGATACAATCACACAGGACAGTGGGGTACTTGCAGCCTACCACTGACCGGAAGCTGCTCTGTGCCGAGCAACTGCCCAGGAGCACAGGCAAACTGTTGACTCTGTTTCTCCGGAGAACCCTGACAAGCAGCCTGGGTCAGCAGCACGACTGTCACCGTCACCTAGGGAACCACCAGAAATACAGAGTCCTCGGGCTCCACCTCAAATATTCTACAGCAGAAACTCCTGGGTGGGGGCCCAGGAACCCAGGTTTTGCCAGGGGCCTGGCTTTCACCAAGTCATGCACCAGAGGTATCGAGATGAAATCATTCTGGGCTTTGGACAGAAAGGCTTTGGCCCTAAAAACACTGCCCTGGGATCTGGGAAGGACAACAACCCATTTGTCCAGCCACTTCCTGGGAGACTGGATGTGACGGCAGAACAAAGCTGCAGGTCCTGCTGCATGGAGACCAGCTGGCGTCACCCAGGGATTACGGGTGATGAAGAGCCTGTTCCCTACAGGGCACAGAGCCTGGCCTGCAGTATGTGTGCTACAAATGCTGTTTTCACTCAACTGCATCTGCTCCCTTCCCGGGCACTTTTCATTGTAGTTGTCATTCCGTGCCCGTCACAGAAGTAAGATGTTCACACATATATAATAGACTTTAACCAGATTTTTACAGTTTCATATCAATTTCCTATCATTATAGCTGTCTTTCTATAACATTAAATCATTACAAATGGAAGTACCACTGTGTTGGGTACTTTTGATAAGTTACCTTAATTAGGAGGCACTTTCACTTCTTGGAGTGAGGCAGGGTATCCTCATGTAGCCAGCTTCCAGCCCAACATTAAACCTTACACACTCAGGAGAAAGGTCTGGATATATTAAGTGACCAGAGGGCATGTGGCATCCATCCCTGGCACATCTTATGTCAAAAGGTAAGGAAGTGGGTCCAGTTCAACAGTGTGGGACCACCAATTACACCAGAACTGGCTCCAGTTCCCCAGATCATTAATCTCACCAAAACATGGTCCCCAGAGGCACAAAGGCTCTCTTTGTATGCAAAATATGGTCTCTGATGCTAGCAGAAAATGAATTTATGGGAGGGTAGGGGTGCCAGGCTAGACCAACCTGCCATACAAAGAAGACCATCTGCAGCCATTAACCAGGGTACTGACTTGTCATGAAGCCCCTGACATCTCTTCAGTTCACAGTGAATCAGAGGGGGAATTCATATTCATCCAGAACTGGCTTTTCTATTCTTGTTTTATTCTGGGAGGAAGAAATAAAGAAGGGAAACCTAGCCTTTCAGAACCCCTGCGGGGGGGATAGAGACAGAGGACAGACAGAGAAGACAGAAACAGACACAGAGACAGAGAGAGAAAAGGAGAGAGAAAGGAGAGGGGTGGGGTGGGGAGAGGGAGTGTCTGCATGTCCATACAGTTCAAGGTGCCATCCAATGACTCTGGACAAAGCCCAAAGAAAGAATAAAAGCTGAGAGAATTCTGTCCCATAAATTCATGAATATGTGAGCCTGAGTCAGCAGAGAACAAAAAGGTAAGGGGAGGCTCACAGTTTGCAACTTCTGCATATCCATTGGACACAGATCTTCCCCACCTCTTCTAAATTTCAGCTACACAAACTGACTTTGTGTCACTCTTGCAGTTTCAGCTAGCTGAATAAAGCAGGGCAACATAGGCAAATGTCCTCAGGAATTGACAGGGAAAGAAAGTGATCAGCCAAATAGCAGCATGACCAACTAGAGTGCAGGAGAAATTTAAGTCAGTGGGTTGGCAGTTGAGAAGGATGAATAGGTCAGTATCAGTTATTGTCAGATCTTATAAAGGTTTAGGAGAATCAGGACAGTACCATCCTAAGATCCCTCAGAGGGCCCCTCCCTGCCCTTCCCAGACTGTACTGGGGCCATTTCCACCCAAATCCCATACTTCCCATTCTAGAACCATCCTGAGTACCTTGGAATTCTCTGCACAAATGGCCCTAGGAGACCCAGATCTGCCCACCCTCTCCTATAGGGATGCCAGATAAAGCAGGATGCCCAGCTAAATTCAAAACATTTCTTTTCAGTATAAAAGTTCCCAAGCATCTCAGTATTTGTGGTTTATGTGAAATTCAGATACAAATTGTCATCCTGTGTTTTTATTTGTTAAATCAGGCAACTCTAACCCCACTCTTATGTCTGTCTTCTTAAGAAAAGACCTACTGCTGGTCAATAGGTGCAGAAAAGAGGACAGTTTGTGGGCACAGGGGCTGTACTTTCCATATGAATGCAGGCCAGGCCTAAGAATGTGATGAAAGAAAGGAGCAGGCTGCAGGCCAGGGGCTTCTATCTGTTCTGTCTTACTGGAAATGGCAGAGCCAGACTTATAACAGGAAATGAAATCTGTAAGCACAGCCTCTCAGGTTTTAAATATTGGATACATATTTTAAGCAATTTCAAATTCCTTTAAAACACCATTCAAACCAAACAGTCCCTGTGGGCCCTTCCCTGTGGTACAAGGAAATTCCAACCATTGCCAATACCTCTGTTCCTATTCTGCATATTATACCCACACTTCAGCAAAGTCCAACTACATGTGGAACCTCGACCCCATCAGGAGGGACAGAACATGACAGAGATGTGTATTTTGGAAAGGGATCTCCATGGGCCGCCCTCCGTGAAGGATGCCTATGCTAACCTGGCAGCAACCAGCTATGGTATTACCCTTTGTAGAAGGGGGAAGGGAAGCAATACAAGAAGTAGAATAAGTCAAGATCACAGTACAAGAAATAAACAGCAATCACTCTTCTTTCACTCCAAATTCCTCATTTTGCAGGAGATGAGTAGAGCTCGCCACGTTCTTAAACCAACTCTATGGATTCCTTACACAGTGCTTTACATTATGAGGCTGTTGGTCTTTAGGATTCCTTATAGAGGACAGGGAGCATTATCCCTTTCCCACAATTTGAAGACAACAGCAAACTTGCTTAAAAATTGTGCTTTAAAAAAATGAGAGGGAGGGAAAGAGGTGGGGGGGGACAAGAAAGAAAAAAGAAAAATCTCCCTCTCCATTTTCTCTACTTCAGAAGAGTAAGGGGGAAAAAAACACTCCAAGAATATAAAAACATACTCAAACCCAAGAGGGTAACAAGAGCCTGCAAATTGCTAGTTAAGCTGGCTGTCTTCTTTGCTTGAATTTAAATGCTATATATAGAACCACAGAGGCCTCAGAAGACCTCCATGGTCCTTCACCAACTCAAGCACCCCATCGCCAGGCTCTCCCCCACCCACCGGGAGGCCCCAGCTTGCAAAGGTCAAGAGAGGAGCAGATGGCTGAGGCAGGCAGGAGGTCGTTCCCCAGCAAGACTGACCTGAACTGGATAAAATATTGCCTGCAGGGTAGGGAGAGTCTCAGTGAAGAAGTGGTCCCAGACTTCAGCCAGAACCTCAATGCGATTTTCACCTACACGAGGACAGGAAGATGGGAGGGGAGAAAGAAAGAAAAGAACTTGTCATTGAGCTCCATCTCAAATGTGAAGTCTTACACATTCCAAAATTTGTGGCCAGGAGCTGTTAAAGCCAGAGAGAGCAGAGCCCTGGTGTTACAGGGTCTTTATCCCCAGCTAAGGCCACCAGAACATGTCAGGACAGAAATATATCCAGTCTCATTGGGAATCACACAGAAATCTAAACTTCGCTGCTGATCATGTCATAATGGCGGGAGTGTGCGAGGAAGACTGGAAGTAGCACACGGCAAAACCAGAAACAGGAGAAGAATTCAAGAGTCAGGCTTTTATCACAACCCTCTCTCTAAGAACTAACTCCACAGAACTAGCATTCATCCCTTCCACGGGGGATGGCCCCTATGATCTAACCATCTGAAACTATGCCCTACCTCTCAAGGTTCCATTACTTTTCAGTACGCCTCATCTGAGATCAAATGCAGTTCCAGTTTTGTTTTTGTAGTCACTGATACACTGGCTTTATTCTAGGTTTGAGCTGTCAGCTGACAAAAATATGGAAACTGTCACCTCTACTCCCCGCTTACAATAACTGGGAGGGCAGCATTCTCTGAAGAGGTCACCTGCAAACACTGGACCGGCCTCCTGTTTCTGTGCCTACTTGCCCCTAGGACCAGGAAGCCCGGGCTATGACCAAGTTCCACCCTCATGTTAGAGTACACACACAGGTCACCCAGTGACACCAAAGCTGCAAGAGGAACAGTGCACTGTGTGGGCAGAGGAAAGCCTGCTCCCTCAGTGGCAGCTGCTTAATGACCTAGATATCACAGCTGACTGGGCACTGTCTCTGCTCATCCCAGGCAGAGAAACTGGGTCAGCCGAGATGAGACACAGAGATGCACTTGGCAAAACAGTGTGAGTTCCACTGAACGAATCTTGAAAGATTTATCTAGCATCTTCCATCTATTAATTTAATGGATAATACAGGCCATGGTTAGGGAAAGAACAGAACAAGAGAATGACCACTGGCTCACAGGTCAGGGGAAATACACTGGAGAAATGCAAGCCCACAGCCCCTTACTTTACCTGGAAGAGTACTAACCACACTTGGGAACTGCTTGTCTACTCCCCTGGCCCCTCCAGGAAACTTGGTGCAGCCCACAGGCCTGCATGTGCTGCTTTCCCCTGTATTTCTGGTGTTCAGCACAGTGTAAGTCAACAGATCAATTTTAAAGCCTTGAAATGAATGAATAGCAACTGCCAAGTACTGTATATGGATTTAGCAGATGTGATGGAAAGGAGGTACAACTTAACCCAAATATGAAGTATAAAATAGGTCTTAAGAGTTGGCAGGAACATTTTTCTCTCCTCCTTGGTAAAGAAACTTCATAGCATGACCTATGTAGCCAAGAGACTCTGTCTCCTCCTGTATCTTCATTCTTTGGTCTATTCAGCCTTTGAGCTCTAGGCAGATTTTATCTCAGCCCCTCCCTCCACAATTCCCTATGACACAGGGTCTTTGCACAGCCTAGTCTCTCTCCCCAGACTGCTCAGACCCTCCCCTCTTTGTGCGATCTATTTCTGTTTATCTTCCTCATTACAGTTCAAGTGGATTTGATTACTATCTGTCTCTACTCCCAGCTTATGAGCTCCACCAGGGCCTATGTCCTATGGTATAGACACCACTGTGTCTCCAGCACCCTGCAGAGTACTTAAACATCTCCCAAGTAATTGGTAAATGTTTGTTGGAATCAAATTCAACCTGCTTTCAAATGTAGGCAATGCACATTCACCGCAGGGAGGAGGCTGGGGAGTCAAAGGGGCCATCTGAAATGTTAAGCTACCCCAGTTCTAAATCAGTACATAGATTATGTACCCCAAAAAGAAAAAGCCTACATTAGCTGCTTTGTGGATGGCCCCCATCTTTAACCTTAAGACTTCCACAATAAAGATGGCAGAGGCATCCCAGCCTAGGGCAGAGCAGCGGAGAGAAGGTGCTGGCCAGGGAGGTGCATACTGTAGCAGGATGGAGGTGTCCTGGAATGCAAGGGAATTCCCCAACCTGGCAGCACGGAGAAGCTGGGTCAGTCTGCTGGCTGCAAACTTCAGACTGTTTTGGAGTTTGGAAAATATTTTAAAAAGAACACCGACCAACAAAGCAGGGTCACCCTGGGGAAGAAAGAGTTAAAAGAAATAGCCCATGAGTCAAGAACTTTGCTCCCTGAAAATATGAAGACAGTCTGGATGGAAGGTCCTAGATGTCCATCTTATCAAATCTGACCTCCAGTGTGCCAGGGGAGTTTAGGCAACAGAAGTATATATATATATATAAGTCAGAGAAACCCTCTGGATGTCCGGGTCACTGAGGTTCTTGAAAAGATTACTAAAAGTAACATGTCTCCTGCTCAGAAGACATGACAAATGAACATGAATTTTGCTGCTTGGTCTTTCCACAGCCATGAGGCAAGGGTGTATGTATGTAACAAATATTTTCAGACATAAGCAAAGGTGTTAAGAAAGTGAAGTCTGTTTGGGAATTGGATAGATCTTGTTTGTTTTCAAGCTTTATTTTATAGCAAGCAAATCCTTTTACCCAAACAAAATCCTTCTTAGATTTCTAACACATAAAATCAAAAAGTAGACATGATCTTGGTGAAGATAGGAAAGTCCTCTAAACAGTCCCCACATACCCATCTACTATATAGAAAGGCTGCCACACCCAGAACCCTGGGACCAGAAGGGACCCTAGGAAAGGACCCTGGCCCACGCTGTCTGGCCACACTTTGGGCACAGATATGGTACCGGGGATCAAACTCAGGACCCTGCACTTTTGTGCGTCAGGCATGGTGCCACTGAGATAAATTCCTGGCCCTTATTTCTTGAGCTTTTACTCCTAAGGCATTAAGATGAATGAGACATTCAAGCTTCGCCTTTGAATGGAAAGCTCAGTCAGTACCTTTGTTTCAGTTTATTCAGTACCTTTTTCAACAGGTGGCTTGACTGACATACAATTAATGTGGCCAGAGACAATGCCTTTTGTTCCCTCGCTTCTTGACTAGGCTGCTGTCTTCAGCCTGAATGCAAGATGCAAGAGAACCACTAAGTTCCTGGCCAAAGCCAGTGACTTGGAATAAGATCCTTCCACTGACAGATGAATAGATGCTGAAAAAACCTGTACATCCATATTCTGTAACATTATTCAACCTTAGAAAACAGAAGGAAATCATGAAGTTTGAGAACATTACACTGAATAAAATAAGCCAGTCACAAAAGGACAAATACCACGTGATTCCACATTTATGAGATACCTGCAAAAATTAAAATTGTGGAAACAAAAATGTTGATGGTGGTTATCAGGGGCCGTGGAGGTGTTCAGTCAATTTGAAATTTTAGTCTCACAAGATTAAACAAGCTCTGTAGATCTGTTATACAGCAATGCAAATACAGTCACCCCTTCTGAACTGTGAAATGGCTAAGAGGGTACATTTTATATATTTTTTTAACCTTGATTTTAAAAAATTTCAAAGGCCTTGCTTTAGTGGGTTTTATGTGGTTGGTGGAGGGAACCCCACAAGATACATGTATTTTGTTTTTTGGTACCGGGGATTGAACTCAGGTCCTTGTGCTTGTGAGGCAGGCGGCAGAACCACTGAGCTAAAGCCCCAGCCCTGATAAATGTATTTAAGGGGAGAAAAATGACATAGCTTTATGCAATTTCAAATAGTCAGAGGTTAATATCAGCTTCTATGCCATCCAAAGGATTTGGGGAGGGGGCACCCACTGTATGCCAACCACTGGAACGCTCCAGCATAGTTTTTCATTCTCCTTCTGACTTTGTCTTTTTACCAGCCACTGTTTTGGACACTAGATTCTTTCCCAGAGATAGGAAGAAAGAAAAAGAGATGACAGGATAATTAAGTGCAGCTCCAGAAGTAAATCTGATCTAGAGATAGAGGCCACTGGATTAAGCAAAGGAAAAGGAGGCCCCAGCACGTGTCCCTCTTGAGTGCCAGGCACAGTGTCATGCCAGCTGTTTGCCTGGCCCTCACCCTATTGTATCACCTTTAAAATGACAAAGACTGAAACACACAGAAATTGGCAGTTGCCAAAAGTCACCCAAAAAGTAAGTGTTGAGCTAAGATTGGGCCCCACATTGGTGAGAGCTAAGCATGACCCTTGGCGGTCATAGGGCCAGCCAACTGTTGCCTTTCATACCATCTCCCCAATCATCAGTTCCTTTCTATCTTATGAACTGGCTTCTAAAAATCTTAGAAGTATTCCTTTATCTACCAAATTGTGCCCCATTGAGTGGGTGCCTGCTTAGACCAAAGGGAACAGCATGGCGGGATCCTGAGTCTAACATGTCCCTTCAAAGAAGACCCGCAGGATGTTAAGATCCTTTAACAAGGTCTCCTGAGCAACCACCCCAATCCCACTTCATCTTTCAAACCACAGCTCAGATTTGCACTGCAGTGCTGCCTCTGGGCTGGGCTGAGGACGGAATGAGCAGGAATGACTCATTCACTTGGAGCCTACCAGTTTTGGATGGAAGCATCTCAGCTGTCCAAACATCAAAGGCTGAGTTAGAGAGGCCTGTGTCATACTTGCCTTCATACAGGTTGATCTTCTCCTCCACAAAGAACAGTCCTTTTGCAAGAAGCTGGTTCTGCCAAAAGAGAACAAAGAACACGAGTTGAGGACTCCAGAGTGTGACAGCCCTGTTCCACTCACAATGAGCTAGAGCAGAGTTCGAGGTACTCGTGGGCTAGTTGTGCCTCAAGTCTTAAGAAGCCTTTTGTCCCCTTGGAAGGTCAAACCCGCAGAAGACCATGAGACATACCATGGCCAAAGAGCAAAGGATCCATGAGCAAATGCAACCACCATCCGACCACGCAGGACACAGGGTGACTGAATTCGCTGTGCTTAACACCCTCTGTCTTTGAGACCCTGGATGCTCTCAACTCCCAAAAGGAGCCTTGAGTCAAGGGGAAATTGTGCATGAATTGACTTGTTTAAAGATAAGTTTAGGGTTTCTCATTCTAGCATGAAAGAGACTGCATGAAGAATCTTAACCAGCAGTGTGTGTGTCCATCAGAGAGTGTTGTGGGGGGTGGGAGAGTAATGTTGAGTCCTCTGGCAGTTGCAGCTAACAACAGGTGGCTATCCTACACCTGTCATTGGCTTTGTGTCCTCTGTTCCACCCCATTTGGTCCTGTCAGGTGAGTGTTATTATCCTAGCGAAGAGACGCACCCATAGGATGCAGAGCTGCTCCCGGCTTCCAGAAATTCACTCCGCTCTGCTCTGCTGCCTCCCAGGAAGTCTTCCCACCCAGACCCCTTCATTTCCTCAAAGAGCTACAGCCGCTTCCAAGCTATGAAGCAGCCCTTCTGTGAGCGACAGAAGCTCCACATTCAGTGAGGGGTTGATGCCTCTGTAGTCACCGTATTGTTGCCAAAGGTGCTTGTGGGGAACTGGAGGCAATGGTGGTCGGTGCTTACAGAACACCAGCACATTCCTTAGCAGCAGCATTTACAAAACCTTGAAGCCCTATTCAGATGACAGGAAGAGTATGCATAGCAGGCTAGAAAGAACCTGTACTTGTCCAAGTACCTGCGTGGCTACTTTGTTTTTCTTTTTAATCCCATTTATTTTCATTCTATTTCCTTTTTAATTGATTTAAGCATATATATTTTCATTGATGTGTAGTCATTGTCCATATGCATGGGGTACTGTGTGGCGTTTCAATATGTGCATATGATGTGTAATGACCAGACCATGGTAACTGGCATGCCTGTCTTCTCAGACGCTTATCATTTCTTTGTGCTTGGAATATTCAGAATCCTCTCAACTATTGTGTAATATACAGTTAATTGGTGTTATCGATAATCAACTGTGCTACAGAACATCAGAAGCTATTTCTCCTATTCAACCGCACCCCTAGGCTTCATTGCTTTCTAGCTGTGTAATTTCCTTGAGTTTCGAGTTCTCTGTCCATAAAATGGCATACTATCAAGTTCTTAAGCAATTCATAAAGTTTTTGCAACAACAAATCATTATCAGTACACATACTGTATGATACGTCCTTAGTAATTAATGGGGATAGTGGTCATGGTAAAAGTTGCTATCTCAGACCAGCTTCTTCACAAAAGGAGGAGGAGGAGGTAAAGAAAGTCAGCAAGGAAGAGGTCTTTATCAAATGTATTAATAAGAGATCTTCCCAAAGTTGGGTGTGGTGGCACATGCCTGTCATCAGAGCAGTTTCAGGAGTCTGAAGTAAGGGGATCCAAGTTCCAGCTCAGCCCCAGGAACTTAATAACTTAGCAAGATACTAAAATAAAAAAGGGACTTGGGGGGCTGGGGATTTAGCTCAGGGGTGCAGCCATTTGCCTCGCAAATGCAAGGTCCTGAGTTTGATCCCGGTACCAAAAAAAAGGGGGACTGGGGATGTAATTCAATACATTGGCCACTGGTTCAATCCCCAGTACTACCCCCTCCCCTTAAAAATGATATTTTATCCAAGGGACGGATATGATCAAAGCTTAACAAAGCATTTTATTAAAATTAACATGTACTAATAAAAATACACTTAAAAGATACTTTATCACATTTCTGTGACTGGTACACAGAAACTCAGTCCAAAAAGTAATCGGCCACTACTTAGTTTCAAGATGGCACATGGAAACCCAAAATCCAAGTAAGACTGACATTGTGCCGAAGTGCATCAACAGAAGTGACAGGCAGTTACCATGAACAGCCAGCACCAATTTAGGCTGTCAGATCTTGTGACAGCTATGCCAGACAGGAAAGTGTTGCTCAAGTTTGTGATGAGGACACACCCTTTTCCTGATCACAAGTCCAAGATGTAACCTGGCATCTCTGCCCAGGTCACTCTCTCACCCAGTCCAGGCGAGCTTCTCAGAGGGTCCCCTTGGCACTGCATTCCAGGCACGTGTCATCTTTCTCACCATCTCTGATGTCTCTGTTGGTGTCCCAGACCTCTCCAAAGCCACACTGCCAACCCTCAACTTCATGCTTCTGAGACACAACTCCAAATGTAACAGAGATTCCCTCCTCAATGTGCTTGTCATCATGTCACTGAAATGCTCCTCATCACTGAAATTATCTATAGTTTAAAGGTGGAGGAAGGCATGGTGATACATGCCGATAGTCCCAGCACTGGGAAGGATGAGGCAGGAGGATCATGAACTCAAGGCCAGCTTGAGATGCATAGTGAATTAGACGCTGGCCTGGACACAAAGTGAGATTTTGTTCCCCTAGGCCTAATCTTGTAGTCAACACGAACTCTTCATGCACAGTTTCAGTAATATTTAAGTGGATCCATTTTCCAAGAAGCTAGAGCCTCTTTAAAAGCAGCTTGATCGCTTCTCGGCCTTTTGGCTAAGATCAAGTGTAAAAGCAGCTTGAAAGTTCTAATGTCCCTGTGATTTCTTGCATCTCTCTTACAGTTAGTCACACAGTGGCTAGAACTGGGGTCCTCCCCAGCCTGAAATCCTAACAGAACAACAGGAGCGAGGCTGACACACCACTGCTCGTCTCCATCTCCCATGCAGCACACACGCTGTCGGAGTGAGGATCTCAGGGGTCACCCTCCTCCAGCCCTTTGGAGAACTGCCTGCCATGGCCCCGTGGAGCTGGGCCCTCTGGAGTTCACATACCAGCAATCAGGTCTGTCTGTGGCGGGGCTGGTGGGTCTGCTCCTGCCCTTTCTCCACTAGGCCTCAAACTGACCTGACAGTTTCTCCAGAGACACCACGGTCACACGGGTCCTGGGCTCTGAATGCCCCTGCGCTCCCAAGGGCCTTGGGTTCTGGGGGCTCAACTCTCTGCAGTTGCCGTCTTCAGTTCCTGTGCCTTCATCTGTGCTCCATGGATGAAGTCTGATAGGACAGTGTGTCGGGCACTAGGGGCTTGGAGCTTCAGCTTTACCTCATCCTGCCTCTTCCTGTCTGCTGGGAAGGGTTTTCAGGCACCCACTCTTCATGCCCTTGTACCCAGGTGGCCCGCTGTATACCCCTTCACTCCTACTACCGACGTCACCCTACCCATGAGGTGTCAGTGGGGTCATATTGAAGCAGGCCGAAGCGTGGTGCAGGTAGGGTCAGGGCTGGGCTGTGTCTCCAGTGTCCTGAGCAGAGACGTGGTGACAGCATCCTTACCCCGTGACTCAGTGGGCCTTTTTGTCCACTGGGATCTATGTGGTGCAGTGCAGAGCTTGTACCACCTGGCAGTTCCCGGTCCTCTGTAGGGAGCAGTGGTAAGCCTGTGAAAAGGGGAGACAGACTTCTTCGCCCCAGCCAGCACATCCTCAGTTAGCCCTGGGCCCTGCAAACTGTGCAGCTCACTCTGACTGCTGGTTGTTAAACCCAAGGAGATGCTCACCTACACATCCTCGGGGCTTCTTCACACCTGCTTGAAGGTCTCGAGAGAGGAAGGGAAGAAGGAAAACTAGCCTAGCTCAGGAAGCTGTCTAAGGGTCTGCTCTTCCTAGACCTCTCCTCACAGCACCCCCATCCCATGACAAGTCTGTGACCCGCTCAGGTTCTAAGTACAGTCAATGTTTGCTGATGAGCAGTGGTGGTGGAGCCGGGTGGTCACAGGGCTGGAGCAGACTCCACTTTTCTCTTGCCCTTCCGCTTGCCTTGGAGACACCAACTCCTCTGCTTCCCCAGCCGGAAGGCTTCACGCCAAGAAACAGTTCATGAAAGGGTAGCCACCTAGGAAATGACTTGGGACCTGGAACAGGGCCCGGCTGTTACTTACTGTGTCCTCCCCCACCCATCAGTGAACTCAGATGTGGCCTGAGGAGCGCTTTAACGAAGTGCCAGAGGGGTCCGGAAGTGAAAGGAACAGCTGACACCTTCTAAGTCACACACACACACACACACACACACACACACACACACACACACAAATGGGCTGCAAATGGAAAAACAAAGCTCTGTTGAGAAAAATGCAAGCAAGGATGTTTCGGAAATCACTCAGCTTTTAGTGGGGAGAAAAGACCCAGCTCGTCCTGGGTAGCATGTAGGGTGGGCTGGAGGGAGCAGGGGAGAGGTGGTGAGGGTGGACATTTGTGGTGTGGGGCCTGTGAACAGTGTATGCCACCTCCCCAACTCGATCAGAGGGACCCAGAAATCAGGGTAACTGAGAGAGTGGGAGAAAGAGGGGAATCGCACCAGCCCTGTCTTCTCCACGGGAAGAGCTTTCCTTACCAAGCGGGAACTCTGTAAATGCTTAGGCAGCTTCCAAAGCATCAGCACTGCTGAGGAGGAGGAGGATGGAATCACAAGGGAAGTGGTCATTGGTTTTTACTCTGTAGGGAGCTGTGTGAGACTTTTCTCATGTTATCTCATTTTACTTTTGCCATGAATCTATCTCCTTTTCCCATGGAGCAAACGAATCTCAGAGGAGCAACCAGGAAAAGTGATAGGAGACCTGGGGCCTGGTTAGTCTGAACCCAAAGCCCATCTCTCCCCCACTGTAATGTAACCTCTGGCTTACTTCACAATGAAATATACTAAGATACAACCAGCTATTGTTTGTCGACCACTCACCATACACTAAGTGCTTAGTATACGGCATCTCACCACATCAACCTTACGAAGTAGGCAGCACAACTGCAACTAGGTTACTGCTAAGAAATGGAGGCTCGGAGGAGTTAAATAACAAGCCTCAAGCCACATATCCAAGAAGCGTTCCAGCTAGGATTGGAATCCAGCCCTACCTGGCAGAAGAGTCAGTGCTTTCAGCTATGGTGCTATGTCCTGCTCTGGAACAGTTTCTTGTGTCCTTGCCCACAAGGGGAAATAGATGGGTTCCACTTGCACTTCAGAGCTGATGTTCAGCAGCAACCCCAGCAATGTAACTAGGTTCTACCACAAGAGTTCCATTCCCTAGGTTATTTCTGCTGCCCAGCCTGCTACCAGCTTCTCACTTTCCAGAAGTGCTTTTCCAGCTCCTTCCCCTGCACTTAACCACATGCAGGGCCTGGCCAGTGGAACACCTGGTTCCCAGGTATGTCGCATTCCCAAATGAGACGCTCTTTCCTACCCCAGAGGGGTTGAGAACGGAGCTGCTCTGCCTACTGAGAACTCCTGTTTCCAGTTCCACTCCGGCACTGTGTTTCCAGAGATGTCGCTGTCTTCCAGAGTTCCTGTTATTGGCAAAAACTCCATGGTGGAGAGCATGGTCATCTCCATTTGTCCCTCTGTGATTCTGAAAGGCAGCCACCATCTCTAAGGATGTCTGCACTTCCTGTGAACCTGGCTGGCTTCCTAGATGAGCCATAAAGAGCCTCACAAGCATAATTCACCCCCAGGCCCAGAGAGTTCCTAATAAAGCAGTCCCAGTGTGGGTGGGTACGATGAGACCAGAGAGAAATTCCCAAGGGACTTCAAAAGTCAGAAACTTGATATTTATGCTAATTCTTCACTTAGCACCACTTCAGTGACAGTGATAAAGGTGAATGTAAAAGAAATTATCTTACAAGCAAACAAAAACAGCCCACATCTGACTTGCTAGATACCCCCGCCCAAAAAAAAATCCAAAAATAACCCTGAAACTCCTGAGTCCTTTATGCAAGAGATGCTCTTAGGGGATTTTAACATTTCCAGCAAAATCCAAGAGACTTTTGTGCTGTGGCCACATGACCCAGGTAGATCTTTGCTCTATCTTTTACTGTGATCTTAGACAAAGAACTCCCTCCTCTGACCCCCAGTGGTAGCATCTGTAGGATAAAACAGCAGAATCATCCTCACAGTTGTCAAGAATACATGAGTGAGTGCAGGAAATATGCATAGTCTTCTCAGACCTGAACATGCTTCAGACTCATGGAAGCTCTTTAAATCCCACACTTCTGGGCCCCAGCCCCCAACATTCCACACTCAGTTGGTCTAATGCAGGCCCTTGGAATGTGCCTGACTCGTTCCCACGTGACGCTGAAGCTGCTGGGCCAGGAACCCCACTTTGAGAACCACTGGCTCGGACCAGGGCCTGGCATGAGTACTGGAAAATGTCGGTGGCTATTACTCCTCCTGTTGTTGTCTTCTTTATGACTCTTAAGAAGACTCACAGGAAGCTTCTCTGTTGCTTTCCATGTTGAACACAAATGCCCAGCACAATCTTTACTTCTCATGGCCACTGAATGGCTGAATGCTTCCACTTATTTTAATAGCACAGTTCCAGGATTTTCCCAAGCCTTCCTGGACTCCCACTTAGTGCCCTGGACCTAGCTCTTACCATTCCTTGCCTGATCTACAAAAAAAAAAAAAAAAAATCACCCAATTCCATACATAATATGTTGCTTAAAGTACGCACACATGTGAGACAACACACTTACATGATATAGGAAGAATTCTGTTTCCAGAGCTCAAAAGGATTATAAAACCCCTAATTACACCTCATCTTCAGAGCTCATCTTTGGGTGATATATTTTCAGCGTTTTGTGCCTATCTGTTCCTTTCTTTCAGAAGTGAATGTCTAAGTCCAGTAGGGTTCCAGATTTTCTATTTCAGCACGCCTATTGATTTTCATCTTTATCTCAAATATATTAAGGTCTGTGGTTGTCAATTGCAAGACTCATTTTTCTATTCAGCTTCATAGTGTGAGAAAAGTATAATAAAAAAAATATTGAAATAATTGCACAAAATTCCAGTCATGGTAGAGGAGAGTGAGCATGCAAAGCTGCTAAAAGATAATGGCCGGCGGGTGGGCAGCCCTTCAGGAAGAGTGTGAGCCCCCTAGGGACACATCCCACAGCCTCCAGCTGGCTCAGCCCCCTCCTTCCTCTGAGTGCTCACCAGATCTTCTAGACACACCCTCCTTATTTTACAATCTCCACTTGCCTGTTTTCAAGTACTGGCCAAATCCATCGTGCCAATCCTCGCCCTGTCCCTGTCCGTGCCCCTGTCCCTTGCCTTCTCACCAAAGCCTAGCTCTGTGAGTGCAACACCCCTGTGTATACTGGTCTCAATTTTGCCTTCAAAGCAGAGTATATATGGCGCTCCCCATATTCCCTGCTGACCACCAAATTCTCTCTTTTTTTCCCATTTTGGGAATACTGCTCATTATAGAAGCTTCTGAACTGATCAAAGTAGAGCCAAGACCTTCCTCCTCTATTCAATTTGAAGTTGGAACTCGCAAAAGTTATTTCCACCCTCTCTTCTCTCTCCATCCCACTTGCCCCTGCATTCTTAACAAGTCCTATCTGCGTCCCTACAATGTGTATTTATTTATCGCGGGCCTGTTTGTAAGTCTGCCATCCATTCAGATCCCCAGTTAATGCTATACTTGTGTTACCCATGTAGATGCAGGTATATCCCTGCACTGTCTTCAGTGTTAGCTCCACAGTGACCAGGACTCTCCACATGGGTCCACTCTGTCAGCTGCCCCCCATGGGCTATTAGTCCCAACTCCCTCCAGTGATGATCCAGAGAAACGTGGCCTCCTGGTACCCTTGCAAATAGAAGCATCGAATGGGGGAAAATATACACACACACGCACACACGTGCACACACATGTGTATGCAAACACACATACACACATGTACATGTCAAACCCTACCAGGCATGCATGACTCTTCCCAGCACTAACCCATTCAAAGCCATTGACTCCAGCCAAGTTTCTGTATCAAGCAAAACTCAAGTTCCAACAAAAGGAATGAAATGTTCTGGGTCTGGGGAAAGGCTTTTAACTAACCTTACAGCCTATAAATGTAGAATGTCAGGAATCTAAGTGCAGACCCTGCCTTCTCCAATATCCTGCACGGCCAAGATGTCCAACTAGGCAATAAAAGTGCAGAACATTTCATGTCATCAGTTTCAAAAAGTTATAAGGAACCAATTATCCCTCAGAGCTGTCACTAGGATATAGAGTTCCTCTTGGAGATCCCAATTTTCCCTCTGGGCACAATTCAAAACAGACAGAAGGCAAAGACAAAAAAAATCAATACTGGAAATATCAGAGATTTTTCTGGCCAGTGCCTCATGGAAGTCTACCCTGCCTTCTGCAGATCAAACAGCCTGTCTTCTCTGTGTGCAGACCCAAGATAAGCACCGTGTTCCTACCTGCTTTCCCCTGCCCTCGCCTCCAGGTAATTTTCATTAATCTCCACAGGGGAAATTCTTTCTGCACATCTTTCTTTAAAGCTGTAAAATGAACATGTTCACCTGCAAAAGCAGAACCATAGAGCTGGCTGCATTAGTGAACTCGGAGTTGGGGGGTGGGGTCCCAGAGCTGGTAGATCAGACTGCTAAATGCAGGTGCCTGGAGGTGGCCGCCCTGAGTCTCTTGCTCAGGAGCCCAGCACCCCAAAGGGCCCACTCTGTACCCTTCCTAGCACCTGCTCCCGGCTTCTGGGGCTACCCTTCCAATTCCTGGGTTCTGGTCATCTGTCCCCGTACCTTTCTCCCTCTCCTTGGCAGAGGGAGCAAACTTTCTGGAACCACATCTGCTTTTTCTTCCTGAGACTATGATTGGAATCCAGATGGGAAGCTAAACTTGCCTCTGTGGGCCTGGATTTCCCACGTGGTGTGGAGGTTTCTTCTGCAGAGCCAGGGGCTTCGGAACCAACTTCTTTTGAAGAAGTGCCTGAGGCCAGGCTTCCTACACCTGCAACCACCTTCTCAGTTGGGGCCACAGCCACGGCCGCCTACTCTCTTACACTCTTAGTGTGCTATTTTTCTTAAATCAAACCACTGTGTAAAACATATACATTAGACACTGAAGGTGAAATACCACATGGTTTCTCCAACATTAAAGATACAAACAATTAAATAGCAAAATATAAGTAGGATCACATTAAGAAACAGGGAAATCAATTCTAAAAATGGAAAAGAGAACAGGGAAAGGAAGGAGAGGGGAGGAGGGAGTGAAAATGATCCAGATTCAATAGGTATATTATCATTATCCCAAGTGAACGTCTGTATCCTCCACATATACCAACACATTATTTTTAAAATAAAATTGAAATAAAAATAAAAGTTAAAATATTGCTACATTGAAACATCAGTTGCCATGATTAGAATGTCAATGATCAACTCAATATCAGCAAAATAATGTTACAAAACCCTAACTAAATGTCCCTACCTGAAGACACCAAGTTTAAGGCCTGCTCCCTTAAATAAGGAAGACTTCTAAGTCCTGGAAAAGTGTGAAAGACAATGGCACAGTCCAACATGCTCTCTGGCGTGAACACAAGGGCTAAAGGAAAAGTAAAAACAGGCCACAGTTTCTGACCACAAGCTTCCATGTTATTTAATGCCATTGTATGTGTCACTTAAAACCATTTCAGGCACCTTTGGCGGCCAATCCCTGCCACTCTCCTAAGAATCTACTTACAGACAGTGGGGAACCAAAGATTTAAATGACAACATAAAGTTCCGCCCCTGCAAGAGTCTCAAAAACTTACATTCTGGTAACACTGTCTAGGAGAACCTTCTTTCCAGTCTAGCACCTCAAATAAGGAAAACCTCAGATTCTACATTATGAAAACCCGACCCCACCTCCACCCTTAGAGAGAGACTCGACATTTCAGCCAGCGGCTTCACTGATGATGCTCCTGATAAGAAATGACAAGTGGTTATTAGATTGTAAGTATCTGGCATGCTTTGTAAGCAGTATTAACCACCTCTGAAAACCTCAAGGCTCCCAAATCAACAAGTCCCCACCCAAACGCCCCTCCAACACCAAAAAAAGAAAAAACACAACTGACATTTAAAACCTGATTGAAACCACACAGAACGCTGTCTCTTTCAAAGGTCAAGGAGGAAGGCAACAGGGCCCAGCAGGTTTCTCCAGGACGGATTGAAAATCCACTTCTCTGGGGCTGGCTTTGAAATCAAGCAATAGAGACAGCAAGGGAAGAGAAGGAGGCCGAGAGTGGCCTTTGAGTCAAGAGCAACTAAAATGATTCACATTTGTGACTAATTATGTCTTTCTTCATCTTTATGCTTCTCTCTTCCTGGACAGAAGCTGTTTTCCATCCAGTGGAGACAGATGACCTGTGTGAATTCGAGGCTTCTGTTGGCTCTTGGTTTGTTCAGATTTTGAGGAGCTGTTTTCTGGTGTGTGTGTGTGTGTGTGTGTGTGTGTCCCTGCGTGTGTGCCTGCATGTGCATGTGTGTTCACACAAGCATTTTAACCCACTGACTTTTGTCATTCTTTTAAAATACACATGAAACTTTACACTTCCTGAATCTTGGAAAGAAAACTAGTAAGAGGATGCCCGTGGTGTTTTTAAACTGAAAATCTCTTTAAAGTGTCTTAAATACATGCTCTACTCGGACACAAAATCATATCGCCAATCTGAAACCAAGACCTGATACATTTTTATATTTGCCATTAAAAGGGATGGATTACACCGTGGACTAGCATGAGGGCACCCACATAAATTTAATAATACCATTATTCTCTCTTACTCTGCTAGTCACTAAGCACTTTATAAACAACTTTGTCCTCACAACAGCCCTCTAAAGCTAGGTCCTTTTGCCCTTGTTTAACACAGGAATAAAGCGACTTGTTCAGGGTGACACAACTCATAAATGGCTGTGCTGGGCACTGACCCCAAATAGGTCCACCTCGAAGGTCCATGATCCTGACCACTACCTATGCTGTTGATGAACAGTAGGGGTGTTATTTCCTGTATGCCATACAGCACACCTATAAGATAAGCTGTGTTTCCAGTCCTTGTAAGATAAGCTGAGTTTTTATTCCCATTGTATAGATGAGGAGACTGAGGCACAGGGAGTGGAGGCAGCGTGCCCAAGACCTCTCAACAAATGAGCAGGAAGTGGGAGCTCAAATTTCACTGAAATGTCACCCAGTGAGTTAGCTACTCATGGGTCATCCAACACCTCCCCAAGTGCCTCTCATTAGACTTAGGAAAGCGGCTTGTGCCTGTGGACTGGTGTCCTCTACGTGGAAACCTGGAACTCATTAGCCCCAAGACAATAGCGTGTAAGCAGGCGGGATGTGACACTGTCCAATCCAATTCTATCTTTGACAGAAAAGACCAGGGGGCTTCATGACAAGAAATAACCAGGTGACAGGCACATTGCTTACAGCAATTAAATACCATGGCAGCAGGGGTGGGGGGACCTCAGAGAGCAGTTCTCCAAGTGTGGCATCTCTCAGGCTCAGGTGAGGGATCCTCAAGGTCAAAACCATTTCTCAGTTGTACTGAGCTGCTTTGTCTTTCTCTCCCTTCTCTCTGCCCACACAGTAGAGTATACCCAAGACTAAGGGGCGTGCGAAGCCAGAACACACTGAACACGGAGCAGACAGGAGCATCCAGCTCTCTTCTATGCGCAGAGGTTTGCAAACAACACCTAAGATGATGCCGCTCCTCCTACGACTTCTTTTTATTCTGAAAAAGCTGTTTTTCAAAAAAGTGTTCTTTATGCCTCTATGAAACAGGATTATTATTTAAATGAATTATGACATATTTAAAGCTTCTTGGACTTAATTTTTTTGGGTACCGGGGATCAAACTCAGGACCTTACACTTGTGAGGCAGGTGTGGTGCCACTGAGGTAAATCGCCGGCCCCTCTTGGAGTTAATCTCTAGTACTATGGTAATAGTAGATGACATAACCCAAATAGGCAACAATTTTTAAGAAAAGAAAGGGATCCTGACACCACGAACCCAAAAACTTCTCATGGGACTGTCATCTCTTCTCTCCACAGAGCCGCACTCACCTGGCCCCCTCTGTAACAGCCACTGCCCCTCTGTAGTGCTACTTAGCACTAGAGACTCAGCAGGTGTCACTGTGGGGGCTGAAGGGCCATCCTGTGTGAGTCTCGCCTCCCCTTGGGTACAAAGACCCAGGTGTATGAAATGACAGATGCTTAGCCCCAGCCCGCTTACCTGGAAATAGTCTGTGATAAATGATCCAAGTTCACTCTTCAGCAGCCGCCTGGGGAGAGAGAAACACTGTCAGACAGTCCTCGGTGGTTCAGCCGGAGGTGACCAGTGCCCAGTACAGGATAGGACAATGGCAACATACTTAGCAGCAGCACAGGGACTGGGGCCAGGCCTAAGGAGGGAGCTTGCTTTCCTAGACCCTGGTAATACTTCCACCCCCAGTGTCATCAGGGCAGAAGAAATCCTAGGAGATGTGTTGCTTAAGTCACCCTGCAAATGTGGCCCACCTGATTAGGACAGCGACAGGAAATTCTAATCTGACACAGTTGGCTGAGGCAGGCCAGCGCACCTGGTTTTGTGTAAAGCAAAATCAAAACAAATAAGCAAAAAAAAAAAAAAAAAAAAAAAAAAAAAAAAAAAAAAAAAAAAAAAAAAAAAAAAAGAGACTATTACTGTACAATTTTCTACATTTACAAAGCACTTCATATCTTTAAAGTGCATTTTCCATACACTCTCCAACCAAGGATGTAAACTGTCTCTGTGTGAGGGTACAACTAGCACTCCTTCTAGGCAGATAAATCAAGGACCCCAGAAGTTCCCCCAAATAAGTAGTGGCAGAGTCAAGAACTGAACCCAGACCTTTCACAACTTCAATATCCTTTCCCATGCCCCACCCCATCTCCACTCCAAACCCATCACAGAAACCCAGACTTGAAACTGAACTTGGTGTCACTGTGTAGGTGATACCACCACCTGTCCTGGGCAGACTGAGGCAGGGGCAGAGGGGACCACCGCAGCAAGAACAGAGAGGTTCTATTTCCCCAGGCAACAGACATTTGCTGAGAAGTCAAATGGGATCCCAGCACAGGAGCAAAAAGGTGAACAGGACAGACAAGGTCTCTGCTGTCTGCTGTTGATAGGGCATGTTACTAAAAAAAAATTCTCATAAAGTAATTTCAGAGTCTTAAGTGCTAAAGATAATAAATTTAAAAATAGGAATTATGGCCCTCAAATCTCTTATCCCTATGACAGACTTGGATCATTCCTACTGCTCCATTTTTCATTTGATCCCGACAAGGGAGCTAAAAACAAGAAGAATTGGCTCTTGAGAGCCAATGAGCTCCCTGAAGGAGGGCAAACTCTTCGTAACTTCGTAACTTCAAATGACACTGTTCATTGCACCAAGTATGGTTTTCAAGGAGCTAACGCTAACGCTTCGGACAACCTTTGCGGAGTATTAACTTCCCCCAAAACGTGCTCATCCATGCTCACTCTTGACGGATAAACAGGAGGTTGCAGGAAGATAGTGTTAACACAGAGAAAGAAAAAGAGAGAAACACTCATGATCTAAATATGATGTTTCTTCCAAAAACAGCCCTGGAAAGCTGCCAATACACATTGAACAAGGAAAAACAGCTTCCCTTTCCAAAAGCAGAAAATATAGCAGGTGGTGGATGCTTCATTTTGAGATTCAACTTCTGCCAACACATGCCAGCAATTTCCCAGATGTGGGCATCTGGTCAGTGATGGGGAGACTTCATCGAAAGTCACTGGGCTGAGAGCAGTTGGCCAAGGCCAGGAGCATCTCTGGGATGTAGCACGGTAACCAAGTGAGCAGCCCTCCGTGGACTGAGGCTTTGAAACAGGAACAGGAAAGAAGTCTGCTTCTGACAACAACAGAAGAAACACCTCCAACACTGGGATGTCTCAGAAGTACAGGTGAAGAAGCCCCAGCTCGTGAGAAAGTAGAAAAACAAGTCCTAGAAATGATTTTTGGGGCGGAGCTCCCAAAACTTATCTTGGGTATGTCCCTAGGATGCTGAAGGACTAATGTAATTCTAGTATCAAATACTACACTGTGGAATTGGTGCCCTGAGGAACCCAGGCTTGGGAAACATTATGCTCCTAGAGATGCTACATGTGTGATGGAGAGAAAAAGAGGTTGGGGAAGGAGAGTCTTTCAAGATCAAAAATGAGGGGCATTTCTTGGAGTAACAAGAAGAGACTGATGCTGGTGTGATAATGGTGACACAGGGCTGGACTGGTTAAGTGAGTGACGACCATCCTGGGACATTCACAGTGGCACTCAGGGAGCACCATGCTGCTGGCCAATGGAGGAATCCAACAGATCTCCTCCCTCTCCACCAGGGAGGACCCAGGGGGCAGTACCCTACAGTGAGGGTAAAGGCCAGGACTGCAGCAAGCCACAGCGTGACAGGAAGGCAGATAATTAGGTGAAATCAGCTGCAAAAGGGAAGAAGCTAAGGATAAGCTAACCGGAGACTCCTTGCCAACGGTGGAGACAAAGATTTAGCAGAAGGACTGGAGCTAGAAGCTGTCGCATCTGGGATGTTGAGCGAGTGAGGGGTAAGGATAAAGAATGTGAAGAGGTGACATTTGGGAGGAACCAGACACAACATTGGGAACCTGCTTTATATATTTAAATGAAACGGCCTCTAACCAGGTTCAGCAGGAGAACCACGTACTTGCCTTTAGCAAATCCCGAGTTCCATAGGTATTGTACCCTCCAGTAAGTATCATGATATACAATTATCTGAACAGAAACAACTCACTTGATCATTTAAATCAAGATTCTTTTGTCCAGTAAATTGTACTGCCCTGTCCTTTACAAAAGTATATCTTATTTCTGTCTGAGCATGTTGTTAAACACACAGTCACTGCAGCAAAATATAGGAGTTAATAAATGTACTGTGCTAATTTAAAAACGATCATTCATCCCTACCACAGAAATAAATCTACGCAATCATAAAAAGAAGTGAAGTACTGTGAGTGATCATATGGAAACACCTGTTATATTAAGTAAAAAATAAAAATAAAAAATCAAGATGCAGAATAGTGTGCATAACAGGATACCTTATAAAAAGAACAACACCTCTTTTAATTTATATAATGACCACAAATTCATCCATCAGCTCTGCTCTTGTAACTTGCTGTTCAAGTCTGAATGAGCTGTATGATTAGGTTTTCAGTAGGCTCTTTGAACTCGGCTATATGCCAACTTGACTTTTAAATACACAAAAAAATACAGGCACTTTTCAAAAAATCACATATAAAATACTGAGTTGCGATCCTTCTCTCCATTCTCCTAAGTGAGGG